TAGTGAGTTATCTATCCCTAAAGGAATTCAACCACTTGCTCTTGATGTTATGTAGAGAATTTTGACAATATTAAGGCATCAACCCACCTGATCTCTGAGACCTCTTCCTCACTCAAGTTGCCATAGTAGATAAAAGTATGACATAGTAGACACCGGGCCCAGTGTCAGAGGACCTGGGTTCTACTAGCTATGTGACTTGGGCTGGTCGCTTCTGAGTCTCCTTCCTAACATTTGTTAGTTAAGCTGGGATAATAACATCTGACCAACTAACAGAGTTGTGAATGGATTAAATTGGATAATACATTTAAATTCTTGTGTTGTTTTGTTTCATTTTTGGCTTTGGTTTTGTTTTGCTTCTTTCTTTGCATTGTAAAGGCCCAGATCAACTCTTTCTCTGTATCCCAGCATTTTCTGATTGCACAACATCATTATAGCAACAACAAAAGAACTTTTAAAACGAAAAGAAAAAACTTACCTGCAATCCCAGCACCTAATACAATAATCGTACTTATTTCTCTGTACTCTTCCAGTGTGGTCAAGGATGACTTTGGGTAACAACATGGGAAACCATATCAGTTAACAGTGCATGAAGGCCCAACAGTACCATGAGCCTTTTGCCACTCCCAGGTACCTTCATGTGATATAATAAGAAAAGTGTTGGTTGTTTTGGGTAGTTGGAGGGAAAACTGAGGTGAAAGGTGTAGTTGGGTACGAGAAAAATGAATGGAAATAGTTTTGTCTCCTTTCTCAAGCCCACTGAGCAATATTAATTGTTTACCCCCCTCTGCTGTTCTCCTGTCTCTCAGGTACGATGTGTAGATATGTGACTGAGTTCCAGTCAGTCCTGTCTGCCTTTTCCTTCTCCAAAAATCCAAACCAAGAGAATTCCTCCTGAACACAACACATGGTGAAGAAGGAAGGGAGAGAGAGTGGGAGAAAAAGGCTGGATTTTGCCTGAGATCCTCTACCTGCTGCAACGTGGAGTGGTTTACCTGGGAGAGATGGGAGATCCCCAGAAAAGAGGGAAAAAAACAATAATTTTACCCATTCTGACGTCAGACCTTCCTCTAAGGAGCTGAAGCAGACACTGTTCCATTTCACCCCTCCCTTCCTAGAGTTTTAGACAGAGGTTCAGCTAAGTAATTGGTGTTGACACTGCGTTGATCCTGAACATGGGACCAGTTCAGCCAGGGCACACACTCCTCCTGTCCTCAGCCTGTTTGTCTCCCTCCTTGACTTTGTTCTAGAATTAAAGAAGGTGAGCCCACAGAGGGGAGTGACTGCCCCAGGATACAGAGAGTGTGGCAGAGTGGGAACTCTCTGACTCTGAGGCCAGTGGGTTTTCCACAGTAGCATCAAAGGTGATGTGAAGGAGGACGTTAGTGGAGAGAATGAGGGAGCCATCGGGGATTGAGAAGAGTCCTGTTTCCAGGTTCCTCACACCTCAGTCTAAGCCATGAGAACATTTCTCAAACTTCTCTACTACTCCAGATCTCTCCACTTATTCAAGCCCTCCTCAAGAACAAGTTCTCCATGGAAGTTTTCTTATTGAGGTGTTCTACTAACAGTTTTCTTTGTTTCTCTGAATTCTCTCAGCGCATCTCTGTGAGGGATTTGAATTCACTTGTGCAGGGGGTTGTTGTGCAATTGTCTTCTCATTGTTTTATGTTATGTGTCCAGTCTCTCTTATTAGACACACACACATGGACGTACACACTCATTCCCCACACACTGGGGACTAGGTCCTCAGTCAGTTAATACTGGAGCTTATGCTGATCCACTGTCTCTGGTTCCTACCTCGGGATCACACTCTGTGCAGTATTTCTATTCAGCTGTGTCTGAGTCAGGTCCAGGAGTCCCTTAAATTACTGCCTTTGGCTTCATAGACTACCAACCTTTCCATGCATGATGACAGTGAGGAGATGAAGGCAAACTTTGCATTAAGCAGTTGATGGAGAAGCCAAGTTACTTTGATGATTAAACCAAGATCTTCACAAGTCAGATGAAGATTCTCCACTTAAATCAGGGAAATATGCAGTGATACTACAGCCAAACCATGGAGCATGGTCCGAACAAAGAGCAGCCACAAAATCAAGCAGGTGGGTGCCTGGGAGAAAGCAGAGGAAAGCAGTACTTACCACTTCACCCATAGAGTCAGGCTGGGGCAGGCAAGGGTGCACAAGTTGTCGCTTGAGATAAAGGCTGGCCCAGTATGGTCACAAGGGGGCAGGGTCTGTGTGACATTACTTCACTTAATATTCAGCAGTGTCAGTTGGTCGTGGATATGTGCTGAGTATATATTTTTTGGGGGCTGGCGGTGGGGAATCACAAAAGTACAACCTAATGTTTATCCTCAAAGACTTACAGTTAATATGGGGAGGCACTCATACTTCTGGGAACACTTGATTGACCCTTTGATGCACCAAGTGATGTCCAAGACCTGAACCTCCTTAAATGTTAAATGAGAAGCAGAGAAAATAATTTACCAAAGTTCATAAGTGAGACACTCCAGTGGTCATGGAGAGTTTCATGAATGAGATGGATAGAACTTTGGATAGAACATGATGGATGTGTAGTGATTTGGGTCAATGGAGGAAATAAAAGAAAGAAATTCCAAGTAGGTGGAGATTAGAGTTCAGCAAAGTGTGGGGTGAGATTTGCCCAGCTAGATCTCCTGGGAGCTGTGTTCATTGGAGCTGGAGTCACAGGACAAGAGCTCAGCTGGGGAAGCGGAGCTAGATTTCGTCATTCGGATCTAAGAGTGTCTCACCCCAAGGGGTTGAGTAGCACCTCCTGTCCCTGCTACTTCTGGAGCCAAGGTGCAGTCATCCTGTTGTGCAGCAAAGCCCGGAAGGTTCCCCTGGCTGTGAGAGGGCAGGCTGAGAAGTGGTGGGTGAGGTGGGAGGCTGGTGGCCTGCTGAACTTCCAGAGCCCCAATTCCCAGGGTGGGCCAGTGCATGTGGCTGCCTCTGGACTCCAGGATCTTGATCTAAGGTCAGATCCCCTGCTTGTCTATCAGGGTTCCAGGATCAGGGCCACATGAGATCCAGAAAGTACCAGAGTGCCTAGAAAGTGGGTCTCTTTCTGGTGGAACAAATTTTCTCAGGTCTTTCTCCCTCAGCATCCTAAATGTCTTAGATTGAGAGTAAGCGAGGCCCCAAATCTGAAGGTAGTGTGTGATGGACATGTATGTGTCTGTGTGGACTCATGTGTGCATATTAACATGTATGGCTATTTTACGTGTGTGAGTATGTGTTTGTTGTATGTGAATATAAGCATATATGGGTGTATGTGTGTGCGTTGTATGTGTGTGGGTGTTTGTGAGTTTATCTGTGTGTTGCTCTGAGACCTCCTCATCCTTGGTCCCACCCTGGCCTTTCCTGGTTACCTCCATCCCTAGCCCACAGGTTGTAAAGGACAGAGCAGCTCTCCATCTGCAGGCAAGTAAGAGTAGGCTCAGGGTGACAAGTGTTGGGAGAACTGGTCCTCATCACATTTGGAAGAGGGAAATAGGAACTCAATAGTGGGACGTCCTCTCTTTCCAGGATTCTGCCTTAATAAAAGCGTCAGGCTTGGTCCTTACTAGGATAGTAAGGGATTTACATGAATTAATCATTTAAACCTCGTATGAGCCCTATGAGATGGAAACAGCTATCAACCCCATTTTTAGACAGGGAAACTGAGCCCACTGAGAGGTTAAGTGACTTTCAACTGGCTGAGCTGTGACTCTAAGGAAACAGTCTGACTGCTGAGCCCACGTTCCCACTCTGTCATGTTGACTCCTGTACACTGTACACCTGCCTTGTTAAGGGTCACCTCCTCCTGTGGACTCTGACAGTTTCCCTTTCTTGTCCAGGCACTGAGACTGGCCAGGCATCTGTTGCATTTCACATGGCCTCTACAGCTGAGTCTATGGGGTCTGAAGTGACAGGAGAGTTGGTTCTGTTGGCTGATGGAGTATGTTTGCTGGAGGTGATGGGAAGGGAGGGTCGCATCTGGGCTATAGGGAATGGATGGCGTTGTCATTTGAGGTGTGAGGTGGGCTATCATGAAAGGGTAAAGACCAGCAGTGGCCATGCAGAGTTTATTCCTCACTGTTTTATTTCACAGCCTGAAAACAGCCCCACACGGGCCTGAGAGACACAGGAGTGTTCACTCATCTCCTTCCAATCCCTGCTGCCCCTGACTTCTCTTCTTCCAGCTGACTTCCTGGTCACATCTGCTCTCCAAGGTGAAAACGTGAGGAGAGGACTAGCCCCACCCCTGCTCATGGGCACTTCCTCCCACCCTGCCTGCTGCTCCCCACTGGGGCCTCCTGGATGGTGAGAGGAAAGCAACTAGGATCCTAAGAGAACTTGACATTTATGCTGGTGAAGAGAAAGCAGGATGTCTGTCTTCGAGAAAGGGAAGGGCTGTCATTGGGAAGAGGACTGAGTAGTTCCTTGTGGGCTGTTAGACTGGAGACCTCTGTTCCTTGCCATGTGGACCTTTCCAACACAGCCGCTTGGTTCATCAGAGCTTGCAAGCCAAGAAGACAGTAGACAGAGTCAGCCAGCAAGAGGGAAGTCATGATCTTATATGATCTAATCACAGAAGTAACATCACCGTTGCCACATTCTGTTGGTTAGAAGAGTCACGGGTCCTTCCCACACTCAATGGGAGGAGATCCTACAGGGGACTAATCACCAGGAGGTGGGGCTATTTTGGGCAGCATCTTAGAATCTGTCTGCACAGAGACATTCCAAGTCAGAGAAAGCAGGAACCAGAGGTTGCAAGGCCTCTGCACTAGATGTGTTCATTCACAGGCTGGACAATCACTGAACGAGATCATTATAACTGGGAGTCCTGAGTTAGACGAGATGATCTGCAGAGCCCAGCTGGGTCTATCAAAGTGTAGTTTTGGATACAAGAATCATAGTGTCGTTGGAAAGGTTTCTCTTGAGTTCTGTGTGTACCTGAAAGAGCTTCCTCTCAGAATATTTCCCTCTTTACCTTAAAACGTCCTTTATCTCTAGGAAAGCACCATCACTAAACTGAAGTGGTTTTTTCTTCCATATGTCATCCTGCCAAGCAAATCCTGGCTCCCACTATTTCTTCCAGCTGGCTTTCATATGGGATTCCACAAAGTCACTTCTTGTGATTTCAATTTGTTGATTTCTTCCCCTTCATCCAGGTGATTTCTTTGTGATTTTATTTTTCTTGCGTCGATTAGTAAGCTACATTAGGAAATGGGTATTCCCTAACCAAACTCCCCACTAATGTTTGGACCACATGGGTGAAGTTTCCTCTCCAAGTCTCAGCTCACCACACAGGGACAAGACAAAATTAGTGGGGCTCCTGGAAAATCATGGATTGGCACAGTTCCTCATCAAGACGAGATGGGCCGGCTCTGTGGCTTAGCGGTTAAGTGCGCGCGCTCTGATGCTGGCGGCCTGGGTTCGCATCCCGAGGCACCGGGTTCGCATCCCGAGGCACCACTTCTCCGTACAACGCGAGGCCGAGTCCCACGTACAGCAACTAGAAGGATGTGAACCTATGACATACAACTATCTACTGCGGCTTTGGGGGGAAA